GGCCAAGACCTGATTGGAGTCCAAGTGCCAACCGGGCTGATCACAACGAGAGAGTGTGTCGCGATCCTGCAGACGATGCTCTACGAAGCGGGATTTCAGGTCCAGAACCTGGTGCCGTTCTGGTTCCGAGCTCACGCTGCGAAGGCCTCGCCTGAAGTCGTCCGACGTCTGGTGGCGAACGTCCAACGTTTATTGTTGCTGAGCTCGTTGCCTGGTGAATGATCACGGATGGAGTTAAGATCAAGGTCCGACCATCATCCGTGCGACCACAGCACCGACCACCTCGGCCGGAAAGTCTACTTGGGTCGTTGCCATCTCGACTGCCGTCATCGACGACACCCGCCCGAGATGATTCAACCAGAGGTACAACTTCGGACATTGTTCCGAGCTTGGTTGGCACCTCGGATGAGTCGTCTTACGCCGTGATGTCGAGCTCGTACACGTCTGGATCATACATGTCCAGGAACAGCTCTGGGTCGTCAGAGTCTTAGTCACAGCGCTGCATCACATATACCAGCGACCCGGTTCAACCAACTGGTGATGACCGCTCAAGCTTCAGGGACTAGCGTGTCCGGCGGGGAACTTGGTTTCTACGTGACGCGTGAGGTGTCCGGATCCCATGCATTGCCCGACACGCAAGACGTCGCCATGACGGAAGCAACCTCGGAAGCAAGCGCGGGGCAGACCCAGTCTAGAAAGCCTGAGCGGAAGCATAGACGGAAGTTCAGACGGGATCCGTCCTCCAGTGGATCCAGTTCCGGGTCCAGGGATGATGCTCGTGACCGGCGTCGGAGTTCTCACAGAACCCCATCCAAACGGTCATCGGGACAGCGCTCCCGGTCAAGACAGTCCAGCCGATCGCCAAGGTCTTATCGATCTGAGAGGTCCAGGCGGACCAGTTTGCCCATCTCGTCCGGAACAGCGGAGGCGATAGTGTCGACGCTCCATCAAGTCCAAAAGCTTAGCGCCGGGGTTGCGCGCCTGGACGAGAAGGTCTCTGCTGTGCCCAACCTCAGTGCTGCAGCCGCCCACCCTCAGTCGGATCAGCCCGGATCGGGCAGAGGGGTGTGCGACTAAAGCGTTGCCGCCTTTTGTGGAGCGCGAGGAAAGGAGGCGAATCAGACGCAACGGGATGTGGAAGTGGAGATACAGGCGGCTGCGCAGCAGGCCGCACGAGTCGAACGGGAACGAATGGAAGCCGCTATCGCAGCACCAGGCCGAAGCGGTAGTCAGGACGAGAGCCGAGCACGCCGCATGGGAAGCCGAAGCGCACCGCAGTGTCGAAGATCTTGAGCAAAGTCTGAAAGCGTCTGAGGCGGCCCGTGAAGAAGACAGAAGAACAGCAAACAACATCAAGAATTTCACGTGGGACAGTTGCGCAACCGTTAGGCGACATCTGCTAAGGTTCAAGTTGACGTGCCAACAGTCGCCCCCAAACGAGCAACTGCAAAGCTGGCTGGGAATAGCCACCTTCAAGTGGCAACTACCCAGCGTGGCGTAAACATGGGAGAGGGGCCGGAAGTCCGACCGGAATCTGGGTTGAAGAACGTTCCAAGCGTGGTCTTCGACCAGTTGCGTGCAACACTTCTAGCAGCCGATTTCGCTCGGATTGCCAGAAGTGCGAAGCCTGTTGAGGTGAAGACTGAAGCGCGCCGCGAAGAGGTCGCGCCTAGACGAAGCAAGATATGTTCGTGAGGAGCAACCGACATGCCGGCGCTGCAGACGTGAAGCCCCAGCCGAAGAAGAAGCCGCCCAAGGCCGAACGGATTAAAACATCGCGGATGAAGTCTCGGCGTGACGAAGACCCTTCGGACTCAAGCGACAGTTCGAATTCGGATGACAGTAGCGATGCCTCGAGCGACAGTTCGAATGATAGCCCGGATGAATATACCCAATCACAAGTGGTGTTGCCATCCGCTGCCAGAGCAGGAACTACGACACTGACGCTGCGCCCGTATGTAAATTCTGCTATACTCGGTATGTTCGATGAGAAGGCCTTGATCTCCGACCGGAAGAATTGGCGGGAGAAGTTTACCAACATGTTTGTCCAAGGTGGATGGACCAGCCAGGTCAAGATTCGAGAGTTGAAGATGATGTTGCCATCCTCGGTTCGCAATTAGCGTGGTCAACTCCCGAAACATGTATAGTCAAGCTGGAAGAACCAGTCTGCGGAATTCCGAGGGGAGAAGCTGAAGTCTCGTACGTCAGAACCCGAACCGTACTTCACGATGAAGCAGAAGTCGTCGTAGAGCGCGTTGGATTTCGTCTACCGGTTGAATGAAGCTACCGTCAAGGCGGGAATTAAGTACCGCAAGGCGAAGAGGGAACGGGAGGAACACATCAAGCGTTTCCTCAAGAACCTGAAGGATTCTCAGCTGAAAGTGATGTTGCGTAAGCAGCGGTTCAAGGATCTGGAAGACCTGGTGTATGTCCTGAAGCAAGATCGGGATGTCGTGGTCGACGGGTACGACAGTTCGTCATCCCAGAAACGTGATTTCCGAGCGGACAATATTCCGTATAACCGACACCGTCCCAAGGGGCGTGCATTCGTGGGCCTCAGTGAGGATGAAGCTTGATGGGACCCCGAAGGACATGACCGTTTCGAAGACGAAGTGGAAGAATTAAAAACCTCGGATGGAACCAAAGGTCCCGGAACGCGGAAGAACGAATGGGTCAAGTGCGGAAGTGAAAACACAAGTGGCGTCTGCCGATCAAGGCATCCACAACGTTGTATATCGTGCGATGGAGACTGCCGGATGGAGACCAAACCAACCGGGATACCAGTCTGGATGGCAATCACCTCGACCGGGTTGCCAATCACCCGACCAAGCCATACAGGAATGAGTTCGGCGAAACGTGTATGAAGTTCGGACACAAAGAACGCAACTGCTCGATAAATTTGGTGTGTGAACGCTGTGGCAAAAGTGGCCACCCGGACCACGCCTGTCGGGCCCGCCCGTGTTCTACTGAAATATGTGTTACCAAGATAAGTGTGAAGATTTCGAAACCATCGAAACTGTGAAGAATCTCGCTCGGAACGGCGTTTTGAAAGGCGCGCCTCCCGATATCCTCAAGAAATTGCTGGATGAGAAGGCCGATCCAGGGAAGTCGTTAAACTAGTTAGCCCGCTGGATGGGGATCCAGTACGCGCCGGGCTGATGCGACCCCAAGGACTATGCGTCTTAGGGTACGTCGGAAAAGAGTTGAGAAGAAGAAACCAGATAACCGACAATACATGACAATGAATCAAGATGATCCTATCGAGTCTGTTCAAGCCCAACCGGACTTGACCGAGAGAGAAAGTCCGGTCGACTTTTCAATACGACCTGGGCAACTGTACTGTTGGTGGGAGAATCATGAGACGGATGATAGTCATGATGTTGCTATGGTGTATGGTGCGGTGAACGATGAACGAACGAAGATTTAGCTCGAGTCGGAGGCGTCTGGAAGTATGATTAGCTTGGATCTTGCGCGTAGTCTTAAGATGAAGGTCCAGATGCTAGCGGACCCGGTCTAGGTATCCGGGTTGTGTGAAGTCCAATCATACATCACAGCCATGGCCAAAGCGAAGATCACGCTTGGGATGAATGTGGTATATGTTGTAAATGTCTGGCGCTTAGAGATTGGAAGTCCTGTTGGGAACAGACTTCATGTATGCAGCCGACATAAAGCTGTGTATGCGAGTAGGTCTGGTGAGGCTACCTGACGAAGAAGTAGTAGTGATGTGCAGTGGACCGAATCGCGAGCGAATGGGTTTAGACGTTCGAGCGCACACTCTATCTCCAGTCAGGCGAACATGCGATTTTCCGGGTGAGATATGGTCTGACTAATCCCCAACAGGAAGTTGAGTATAGGCCGGGGAGATCGTTGGGTACCGCAGGTCATCTACGCGACTAGGTCCTGGATCGTTGCTGCTAAAATGGTCAACATCTTGCAGTCTAGATTGTGGTTGAGCACGGAAACCGTCGTGGCCAGGATTGTGGAGTATGGATATTTTCCTCAGGCGGGCGATTCGTCAGGCCAGGGAGGCAACGCTACAAGGAATGGCAACAGCTGACCTATGAGAACACGAAGTCTGTTGAAAGGCAGAGGTATGAGTGCAGGTTAGCTGAGCTACAAGAGTCTCTGCGACTACTATATGTGCAGGCGCCAGAATTTTAGTGGCCCTCCAAGCTGCTGCTGTGTCCAGCACCGGGAACCGCCATCACGCGATTTGCGTGCCTACGGGTCAACCCCAGTGGGGAAGAAATGAAGACGTTGGTAGTTAAAGCGACCGTGGATGTCGGAACCCAGCCGAACTCAACTACCGACGCGTCGACACAGACTGACTCCGGATGAAAACCGGAGCATGACGACATTTCAGGCGTGGGCGAGTGGAAGGGAACGTTGGTTGGGAGGTCAGATCCGAATTCGGGATGTCAGTGAGTCCAGAGGTACTCTCCGATCGGGAGAATGACGTGAAATGAAGTATCCAGATGGGGCCACATGATCGCGCCAACGAGCAGACTTTTGTCCAGAAGTTAGAAGTCGAGTATGCTCGAGTGATGAATGCTACTCAAGAGGAGCTGGACCTGAAACCCGGTGTCTATATCCATGAATGAAGTAAATTGATGTCTCATTATGCGCGATGACATCATGTTGTTGCCTGACTTGAGTGATCTTACGTCCGATTTTGATATCTCTAAGGTAGCCATGGGAGTGCCCGGACGGACCACTCCGACTAAAGAAGAGCAGCTGAGAAGAATCCTCGAACGGCACTCCAAGATTTTTCTAGGCGATGGAAAAGCGGGCCCTTCTCCAGCACGAAGAGTAATGTGCGAAATCGATGTCAGGGGCGCCAAACCTATAGCGCTCCGACCAAGGTCAATTATCCCAAGGTCGCGATGAAGGTGTACGAGCTGCTGAAGAACCTCCTGGAGACTGGACTTATCGAGATGTCCGACTCCGCCGGGTTCTCTCCAATCATGATGGTTCTGAAGTAAAATGGAGTCGATATTCGGATGTGTATCGATAACCGTCTGGTGAACGACTTCATCGAATTGTCGAACTATCCGTTGCCCTTGATTGACGACGGGTTTGAACACGCTATGTGGTTCATGTCACTCGACATGGCGAGCGACGTTTGGGCCGTTCGCATGACCGAGAGAGTCAAGCGCATACCAGCGTTCGTGTGTCCATTCGAACATTTCCAATGGATCCGAATATCATTTGGGCTCAAGAACGCCCCGCTGATATACCGGGAGATGATTAACAATTGTCTATGGGGGTTCGTCAGACTACCTCCAGAAGTGGAGAAGATGGTGGATGCGGATGTTCTAAACTGGGGCTAGACCTAAGTGAAAGAGGTGAAGCCCAGCGTGAGTATTCTGGCCGAGAAGTGCCCATCCTGACGAACGAGATGACAGCTTTCAAACGGAACATTCCATCGCCATCGCAGATAGGGCCCGTCCTCGGACTGAGTTCTTATATCGACGACATCGCGCATGGAGCCCTCACCTGGGATCAGCTGTGTGAGGGTCTGGATGCATTATTGTATCGGTTGTGCTATTGGAATACTTTTGTCGGTCTCCCCAAGAGCGAATTCGGTAAGCTGACTATCCCGTATCTCCCACATGGAATCCATCCCGGAGTTGCCATTCCCGACTACGCTCAAAGAGGTGCGTGTAGTACTTCTTAGGGAGCCTGAACTGTTATCACAAGTTCATTGAAGATTATTCAGTGGTAGCAGCGGTCCTCCATGTAGTGACGGAGGATCAGATTAAGGCCGGACGCGAGTTGTCCCGAGACAAAGAGTCGTTCGAGATCCTCAAGCGGAAGATCGTGTCTACGCCTCTACTACGGCACCCCGATAGGAACAAGCCGTTCATGATTATCCTGCATGCGAATCGTTAGGCGGCGTGTGTGGTACTAGGCCAGCAGTACGATAGGAAAATCTTATCTGTGCATTTTACCGACCGGGTGCTCAACGAGACGGAGACCAGATACCATGTCGCTGAAAAGGAAGTGATCGCCATCATGCGAGGCTTGGACGTGTTCGAAAATCTCCTCCGAGGATGTCCGATCAAGGTCTATACGGGTTATTCCGTGCTATCCTGGTTGTTGAAGTCCAAGATTGCGGACGGTCGATGTGTCCGGTGGGGAGTAATCATGTCCCATTAGGATTTGGAAATCCAGAAGGTTCAAAGCGGTGAAGACGTGCTAGCGGCTATCATGGGAGCGGGCATCACCCCACACGAGCAGCTAGACGAAGTGGCCGAATCGCTGATCCCACTCAAGAGATGCATAAAACCTCAGCCTGTGAACAGTGTTGAGATGCTGGACGCAGATTTTGAGGGCTACGTGCTAAGCTTTGACGGGGCAGCGAATACGTCTACACACCAGGGTAGCTGTGGGTGTAAAATCTGGAAGCTCCCCGTTTGACATGTAGTGACTGCTCAGGGTTTCATTCTTGAAGATGTTACCGTTAACGACGCGCGTATCATGGTCTCCTAAAAGAACTGGCAATGGTGGACGAGCGAGATATCTCGGACGTGGTCGCTGTTAGGGAATCACGCATCGTGATTCAACAGGTGCAAGATCTGATCAACTGTAACCAGCCTAACCTGCAACGACGCTTGACCGAGTATGGTGTCCTGTGGGGAATTTCAAGTCATTACGGTTGGTTGATGTCAAGAGGGAATATAACCAAGCGGCAGATTACCTCACCTTCAAGACGCTGGCGCTCGGAGAATCATGGACAGTAACTGATCCGACAGAAAAGACCCACCTGGAGTGTGTCTCCTCGGTCCCAGAAAAAAAGGATGAAACCTGTAGTGACTCTCGGTGAAGACGCCGACGCTGACCCAGTCCGGACCCCGTCGTCCGACACGGTTGTGGATACCCAACCAGGCCTACTACGCACCCCTGCACACACCCGCCCGGGTCATGACAGTCGTTCCACGGAGCCGTACTCGTGAAGACCTCGGTCGGACCAACTCGATGGGGCCGCTGGAGTACCAACCCGAAAGGTGTAGGAGGGTCAAAGTGCACCAAGACGGGGACCCCATCTGAGGAACCTCAAGGAATTCCTGAAAGGTGAGATAGAGAACTTCTCCCGCGGTCAGATACGTCGCCTATCGAAAGAAGCCAACCTTTTCTTATTGGATAGTCGAGATGTACTTTTCCGGCTGAACCATTCTGTCCAGGGGCGACCACGGGACCGATATGTTACGACTGGCAGTTCCAGAGTCACTTCGCCTGGATATACTGCACTATGCGCACGAGGATTTCCAAGGTGGTCTTCAAGTTATTACGCGTACTCACAAGAAACGGATTTATATTGGTACGACATGTATGCGGACGTGAACGCCTTCGTCAAAGAATGTGTGGACTGCGCCAGTGGCAAGGGGCGACCTCCCAACCAAGGGCCTTCGCCTGGGAATATTGAGCCCACTCGTCCATTCGATTGTCTCAATGGATTTTGTCACTCATCTGTTGGAATCCGTCCGAGGAAACACATTCCTATTGCTGTTTCAAGATAAGTTCCCGGACTACGCCATGTGGAAGCCGATGAATTCGACCACAGCCCAAGAGGTGGCCGAGGCTTACGAGGAGCGTGTCTTCCTGAGGTTCGGAGCAAGCGCTATGATTCGCAACGACCAAGATCCAAAATCCATGAGGGAGGTGTTCAAGTGCTTGAGGGAATTATTGGGGAGCAGACAGCGAGCTACCCTAGGCTATAGGCTCGAAGCGAATGGCCAACAGGAACGATCGGTCCGGACGGTGATTCGTAGCGATTGCGTGTACGTGGCAGAAGCAGACCAGTCCTACTGGGATGATCATGCCGAACCTTTAATGTTCGCCCTCAACACCTCATTCGGCGCGACCTGCTTGGGTACGACGTTTTACTTGGTACACGGATGGGATGCTCAAGGAACAGTGTTAGCGATTCTCGGGCCGAAGCCGTCAGGTGTAGTCGAACGTACCGCGTATGAGTGTCGAAGAAAGCTTCGGCGAGACTATAGCTATGCACAGGCGTGTGCCGAAGACGTGCAACGAAAGGCTAAGCGAGATCGTGCGATCACACAGACTCGGAAGTGGAAAACACTGTCAGAGGGTATCAAGGCAGGCTTTTCGGTCGGAGATGCGGTATGGCTTTATATCCCTAAAATCCAGCCAGGGTTGAGTAGAAAGTTAGCTCACCAATGGCACGGTCGAAATAACCGACGACTTCCGAGTGAGGTTGAAGGTTTCGGACACGGGGTATAGAGTAAACCCATGGGTGCACATAAGTCGACTTAAGTCCCGAGCGCTATTTCCCAAGCGACCGACTGTCCAGTTGGAAATCAGTGATGAAGATGATCTAGATGCCGCTTTGCTACCAGAAGACAACTGGGAAATGGACAACGCAAACGATGAGTACGAAGTGGAAGAGAACCTGGACCTCCGTTGGTCCCAACGGATTCGGACTTCCAAGCGACTACACGAATACCTCATCAAGTGGAAGGGCTACGACGAGTCAGACTGGGTGCCGTTGCCTCGGTTGAACGGTGGTACGCTGCTTTACGAATTCAACCAAGGGGCGAAACGCAAGCGCGTCCCCGGGCCATGTAGGCCGGAGACGACCACCCGAGACTATAATAGGTCTTGGGTGGTGATGCCCGTCAAGAATGTTAAAGTTCACTCGGACTCTTCGACCGGAATTGACATTTCGATCGAACAGTATCATTATGATGAAATGAGTACAGAATGTATCCGGATGTTCATTAGGTATTTAATGTGGAGGAATGACAACAGGACGTGAAGATTTCGGAAACAGAGATGGTTAAGTGGAGAAGAAGGGGAAGTGAGATGAATACTTACTTGGATTATGGTGTTACGCTACTACAAACATACACGAGTATGAAGTTCCAGTCGGCGCTCGCTCAGAGGAGTGCAGCCCCAGCCGAAGACAAGATAGGGTTCTGCCGGCGGACATATTTAGGCTTGATCATATCGAGCACATTCTTCGGGACATGAGCCAAACGGTCAACATCGCTGCAATACGCAGTCCATTGAGTTCGAGCGGGAAATTCCCGTTGGGCTGCTTCGACTTGTTGTTCTAAAGTAAATCTCCCACCCGAAGAATTACGCGTGGAGCGGTGCGCCAAGTACAAGTAGCATATCTTGGCAGGATAGAGCCAACAACATGGCTCCCAGATGATAGTCCGTGGAACGCTCTTCTTGAGCATACGCTCCAGTCGCTTCTCAAACCTCGACCGACAGTCTCGTGTCGGGGGGGGGAACGGTCCAAGTGAATGACCAACGAGCCCACATAGATCTCCGTCACTTTGTCGTCAGAATCCTTAGATTTCTCCGCCTGGGTCGTCATGAAAAACCAGTGCAGCACATCTCAGAACGTGCGGGAATTGACCTTCATATACTTGATGTGACGATCCTATGCTTTCACCGCAGCTGGAAAGAAGTCCTTGCGCAGATGAAAGTAGAGGTACATGTGCCGGTTGACAAACTTCATCTTCCACGGTTTCTTCGCTAGCAAGTCCAGGTACTGCCGATACAGAGGGGTCCAGCGAAGCTTGAGGAAAACGACTTCATTCATCTGAGGCGCGTAGTCCGGGAAGCCAGGTGTCTGTCGCTCAGAGCCGTCCTTTTTCGGAGAAAACCGAGTGAGGATTCCCCACTGGCGCCAAGATACTATGCCTCAGTCGGCAACTTCGATCTCGTCGTTGTCCGCATCTATCAAGCCCTCATAGCGGAGCATGGCCGGCCTGGATTCGGTTTGCTCATTACTCCGACGCGAATGAGGCCGTTTGGGAGATGGAGTGTAAGTGCCAGACACGCGCTCAGAGTCGGATTCGGAAGACCCTGCAGAACAACGGCGCTTACACTTGCCAGAAACCTTCAGTTGGGTTTCTTCCCGTTATAACCACCACCCGACGACGAAATGGGAGACAGAGAGCCACGCTTGGACGGAGAGGACTGCTTGGGGTTTTCGTTTTCGCTACACTCGTCGGACGAAGAAATGAGGTCAGGATATTTGGCTATTTTGCTGTCGCATCGAGAAAAGAGGACGTCGCCCTCACCCGAGCTGGAATCGTCCTTGTCATCGTCGGCAACGCCCTCGGCCTCGGCCTCCCCCTCATGGGAGTTGTAATTTTCGTCGTTCGGGTTCTCGTCCTCCTCGGAATCAGCGGCTTCGATACCCTGGTGAGCTGTGAGCAAGTCATCGCGTACATTGCGCAACACCGGCCACTCTGGTGGGTAGACTCCAGCAGAGAGGTGTGTTCGGAGAATAAATTCGGCTGTCTTGAAATACCGGTTGGGAACATGCTGCGTCCAGGGAGTGTCGTCCAGTTACCGATGATACATCAGCTACACCAGCATATCGCCCAACTTCTTTTCAGAGAACTCGTGATGAGCGACGTTGTTGTCTCCTATCATCTACACTACCAGACTGTATCCAATTCCAGCCTGCATAGTCAACAAAGTGTCTTGACGGAGCTCACTCAAAGTCAAGAAGTCTGGAAAACGCGACTGGTCCTGTTTGAACGACAGTTTCTGGTCGGAGAAGACGCGTAGCGCTCGTTTCACAGATCCCAAATGGACCGATGGGCGAGACCGGACTTTGACCGTCCCATGCGGAGTCGCTATTTCGACCATGACCTGCATGGTCGTGGTGATGCGATGAGACGGCTTGGCCGGACGACAGCTGACTGACTTGGCCGACGGAGAGATAACTTTGGGAGCGGTGGCCTGGTTGGAAGGTTCCGACCGGGTAACCGGAACCGGAGGCTTCTCCTCAGGCTTGCCTTCCTGATCAGCATTGGCATCATCATCATCGGGGACGGCGACTTCGTCCTCTGTGGCGCTTTCCCTGGAGTTGTCTTGCATCGGACATGGGAAAGGAGGTGCCATCCGGTATGGTTTGTCGGCAGCTTCAACAGACAACCAAGTGGTCCATTCTTTAGGAGGCTTGGTGCCCTTCTCAAAGAAGCACAGGATGTGGCACAAGCGCGAGAGACGACGAGGCACCCCTCCGGCAATCAGACTCGGGGACAGGAGTCTCCGTGACGCCCTTCGACTACCCGGCGGTCTCCGCAGCGTCCGGAGTCATGGGCTCGCGCGCAGGAGGGTCACCAGCACTGGGGCCCCTCGGTGGTCGTCGAGGATGTGGTCAAAGAAGCCGGAGTGCCGCCGCCAGTACCCGCGCCCGTCCCGGTGTCCCCCTTGGAAGTATCCGTGGATAGAATTTGCGCCGGGATAGGCGTAGTTGCGGCCGGCGCTAGTGTTGGATTTGGGGCGTCGTCACCTGGTGTGTTCGTAGAGACATGCATTTTTCGGAAGAGAGCCGGATGGCGCGGTTTCCGTCGCGAAACGGTTTTTGCCGATCTTGCTGAGGAAGTTGACTTTGGCATGGAGTGACTCGATTTTGAAATGGAGTGACCAGGTTGCGACAGGGAGCAAAAAAGTGACGGAAGAGCGGGCAGAGACCCAACGGGACTTTCGCCCGGACTAACTTTCCGTTCGGATGTACACTTTGGGTGTGAGTAGGTTCTGTTCGTGGTTGATCAATCTGATGAATGACTCGGTGAAGGACCAAGACCAGAGGGGCGGTTGACACGATGTGATTCTTAAAATTGTGGGTCCCTTCCGGAATGGCA